ATAGTCTTGTGACATTTCACTGCCTTGGTTTGACTTGCAATGGTGACAAAGTCCTGCTCACTACCAGAAGAGATAAAAGTGGTCAAATACATCTGGACTTAAGAGGGAACATTAAGTCAATTCTCACTTCTGAGTGTTTACAATTCAGGGGCAAAAAAGTGATCCGTTGTGTTTGGTGTATCCAAACTTCCTGACTAGTCATTGTGATGTTTCGATCAGTTGTCAGTTTATTCATTAAACATTATACTTGAACAAACATATGAGCAGAAAAAGTTAGCTTTCATCAGCTATTATGCTAAGACTTTTCTACAGTCTTCAGAGAAGGCTACTGTCGCTTTGACATTCACTTTAGTATTCAAAACTATATTTTTAAAAAATATAAAATGTGGGCTGTGAAATCATATGAGAAATGTTCTGAATTTTAGTGATTAAGTTTCATTTAACTCAATAAGTTGCATAAGTTGCAAAAGAAATCTACAATAACGCTTCGGCACACTGTAAATCTTGCAAATGTAAATATACAAGCTAAATCTGTCGTCTGTCATATATCTTAATGTGTTTTTAATGATGGACCAAGAAGAGTAGCATGGGGGTCCTAAACAATAAACAATAAAATCGGTGCCTAAGCATGCCATATTGACAATAACTGCTCTAAGTATTCAAGATCTTGTTTTCTCATCCACAAAGGGGGTTGCAATGTGGGTTTGCACCTCAAATAGGCTGTTTAAAGAAAATATGAGCCTCTTCAAGGACCCAGCTGGCATGTGACAGAACAACACATCGACAGGTGCATCACAGAGACAACAGTGATCAGTCTTGAGGGAATTACCTTGGAACTGGCTATTATAATGGCAAAACATGGCAGCGTTGACAGCAGAAGGTATGCCAGTGCTGTTGGTCTCCTGAAAAGTGAATAAGGTTTATGTTGTCATTGAAGTATGAGAAATGTTTCGTAATGCCATTTGATCACATAGCACATTCATGCACTGTCTTCTGGTCATTATCAGCGTAGGAATGGTTATATGTCCCTTCGTAATGTTGGGGGAAAATAAACTCAAGCAATAAAATCCATCAATGCATATCTTAAAGAGCCTTTATGCGGACAATAAAACTGTTATACTTCACATTCACAGGATTTTTAGGGAAACGTACATTAAGAGCTGAATGGAAGTGATTTGACTTCCAAGTATTGCTACTCCTTGGGTTTTTATTTTTTAGAAAACATTTAATCACACTGCCACTATTCTCTTCAACACATATTACTGAACTTTCCCGGAATAGAAAAACACAATAATTGTGAACCAGTAATTGTAAAATGGAAAATATGTAAATGTATCCAAACATTTTTTCAGTACTGTTTTGTTCAGGCTGTCTTTCTAAAATGTCTGTATTTTTCTCCATCCATCATCTCATCAACTGACCAACAATTCTGTCGATGCAGGCGTAAAGCATCCCCACAGCATATTGCTGCCACCACCATGTTTCACAGTATAATTGGGGTTTTCAGGATTATGTGCAGTGTTAGAGTTCAGTATTCTCCATTTATGCCAAGAAGTTACATTTTGATCTCATCTGACCACAGCACCTTTAGTATATTTGCTGTTTTCCCTACACTTGGTGCATATTGCAAACATTTTTATTCTTTTTTGCCATTAGAGGCACATTTGAGGGGAGCGGAGGCAAAACAATCCTGAGAACTGATTCGCCAACCTGAGCAGAGGATTCCTGCAGGTTATCCAAAGTTACCAGGGATTTCTTTGTTGCTTCTCTAGCTGATGAACATTTTTTTTATTTAAGTGGCTGTTTCTCCCGTGTTTTTCCTTGGTCTTTGTGATGTTTTCTGTCCAATAATGTTCTCTAAACCGCTGGGGCCTCCACAGAACGGCTGTGTTTTTCCTAAAAATCACAACTCTATTTATAAATAAAATGACTTCTGGAGGGGATTGAATGCAAATGCATGAATTTGTATCATTATAATAGGTTTAGTTAGGGAAATGTGCGAAATTATGCTTTTCTTTTCACTTCAGTATGTTGTATGTTCTACTTTATAGAGGACTGTCCCATAAAATAACATACATTTAGGTTTGTTGTTGCAGTGCAAAAAATGTAAAAATGTTCAAGAAGTTTAAATATTTGTACATGCAATATGCTCTCAGCCACTCTTGATGCAATTAATAAAACAGATTTCTGAATTAGTCACAATAGATTTTCATTCCTCCACTGCTTAAAGCCCCGTCTTTATAAAATATTCAGGTTTATGTACACTTTTAGAAAAATAGAAATACTTGAACTGATTCTATTCAACACTTTTAAAAAATCAAGTGGCAGCAATAACCTACAGGGATCGTTCTGCATCACACTTTACCTTTTGAGCTGATTATTTTTGTAATACTCAACAAAGGACACCAATTTATTCCCCCGGGAATTCAACTCATTTTTTTTTTGCAGGGTTATTACTTTAGTTTAAGCCTCAAATGTCCCTGATAATCTCAGATTCATTTCAGTCCTCACTAAGACAACTGAAGACAAATAATTGTAACTCACCACTGCGTGATCTCCGAGATGAATCTCCGCTTCTTCAGGATCACGTATTTGAGAGGAACCCACACCAGCAAGGTCGCAGAGGTCACATAGGCAATAGAAGCCGCCACCACGAGCCAGTAAGCAGTCACATCCTGCCCTTTCACGTCTCTTATAAGCCTGGCAAATCTCTCCATAACTACGAAGACGGGGACGATGAGAGCCGCGAACTGCAGCACCTCGTACACGATGAGCTTGACCGTCTTCCCTGAGGGCATCATCCCTGAACGCTGGTGGCTACTTGGAAATCGGAGCTTCAGACTTTGACAATCATCTCCCTCAGAATGTCCCTGCGGGAACGTTGAACTCTGCTCACTGCTTACACTGCACTGGAGCTTGTATTGTTTTACTGCCTGCCTAATGAGCTGGTCACATTCATCCTTTTACAACTACAAAAACAGAAGCAATCACCATCTCATAACTTCAAGAAGAAACTGCACAGTGCTTGACAAATGCAAAAGTTCTATAAAAAGTACGGTTACACTAAGATCAGGCATGCTCCAACTTTCTTTACAGATAAATGAATTAAAACTTGGTCATATTGCTCTATTTGTTTATGTTAGAGGAGCAAAAAAAGAATTGAAAACAAAAAGCAACATTTCCCAAAAAGCCTCTGTTTCAAAGGTCAGGGCAGATTCATATTTTCCTATATCAACAGCTAAAACTACGTCTCCATCTAGTGGCAATGAAAAGACAGCTGCTGCAACTGGAAAAGATTTGATCAAAACACAAACCTAATATCGGTAACATTTTAATGTAACCATGTCTGTACACATATTGTTGCAGATACAAAGTTGTAATGTTCACATCAAGCTTAAATGAGCTTAAATATGCATATTTTTGGAGCGTTGCTGCAACCTAATGATGGAAGGAAACCCAGGGCAGCTAGCACTGTGCAAACATCAAAAGCTTTACTGAAAACTCATTTAATCATGAAATCATTACTGCAAAAATTATTCCTCTAATTTATGAATATGAAAAAAGGGAGAAAAAAAAATCACACATTACTCTGTACACTTGGCCTGGTTTTATTGTGAATACCAATTATTAGGTATGGTTAAAAGAATACATAGAAACAGCAGAGTACAAGTTTGGGCAGAACCTTTACAATAACGTTGAGATTAAACTCAAAAACAGGCAGCATCTCAATCCTGTACAAAAAAGAAAAAAAAAAAAAGTTACATCAGGGCTGCAGTCCAACGCTGCGGTGCAATGAAATGCTTCGTTCGGATGACGTATGACAACAAACTGGCACCTCTCCTTGTCCCAGAACAGCTGCTATGGTTGAACACGACCAATTTGACTCATTTAGTTTGTCTCGACTACATTAATATTTAAATAAAATTCTCCAAAATAGTGTCTGAGTACCAAGTCTAAATTAAAAGTTGTTTTGCATTCTTAAGGTGGCATGTGGATGGCAAGACATTTACACATTTGAAACAAGATATCCAAGGAGAAAATGAAATCAGAAAAGTTTGTCCAGAGTACAGAAACTTGTCCCCACTCTAAAGTTTACTTCAGCATTCGCACTTCAAATTTCCTTCACAAAGCATAGTTAAACATAAAACAACTTTAGTTTTCCATTTTATTAGCTCGTTGAAAATCTGATTTTCCAACCATCATATCCTTCTCAAAGACTTGCTACATGTAGAAGTCATATAAATTATTCAGGACTAAGAACACACTAAATGCATCATCTAATGTTGGGTGAGAGTTAGCAACTAAACATCTTCAACTAATGCCTCTTCATCGGATGAAACGTCCCTTATAAGTCGGAGAGAAAAAAAAAAAAAATCACAGAAAACACATGTGGGCTCGAGTTTAGTCAGTTCTAACGTCGCCATTAAACCTACAGTACAATAAGAGAAACGCCCAGGTTCTCGTCTGAAATATACAACTAAGTTAGGCAGAACATCGCACATTCCACTCTATTCTCTGAATACATACATCCTGCAATACTTCATTAAAAATATCATCATAATAATTAAACATAAATTAGAAAGCACTACAAAAAAAACAAACAAAAAAAACAAAACAATGGCAAACGAGGTGTTTACAAAAAAAAAAAAAAAAAAAAAAAAAATAGGGGGGCCCAGAGTTTTTCCCCGTTGTAACCAAGTTGGTGGTGCACGCCTGTTAGCACAGCCCTGATGGACACAGAGGACTGCAACCCTCTGAGAAAGGATGCAAAGCTGCTTGAATTGAAAAGGAAAATGGGCATGTAGGGATGGCTAATACACCTTTAATTCACCAGGTACATGCAAAAACGGCAGAATTTAATTTTATGTCTGGGAGAGCTGTGCCAACATACAGCCAACTGCACGGGGTCTATTTTAATACAGTATATACAAATGTCATGTGCATGCTTCCGCTGTCCTTGTTTTCTTTCCCTCCAGAAATCAAGGTGGCTTCAGTGTTCAGTACTTCTTAAAGTTGAGAACAATTGTAAAAGATAAGCAGGAGAACTACAAGGTACATTTTCAGCTTAATGTTTTGATGTAAATAAAAAAGTAGAAAAAAAAAAAAAAAGAAGAAGAAAAAAATACTATTTTCGTGGCAAGACCGGGGCTGGAATCGGCTGTAGTGGATGAGATCACCGTGGCAACCCCGAATGTGTCTCAGTGTTAGTGTTTTAAAGTCTGCATATGTAGGCCTGTTACTAGTGTTGTCAAAGAACTGCTGTGGATTTCATGCGTTATGTGGATTATCTAAATGTTTTATACAGCAGGTGCAGTTACACTTGTTTACTCTAATCGGTAAAAACTTGTTTCGTTTACAAAAACCTCACATTGTTTAGAAATACAGGACAAATTCTAATAATCACGGGTGAATCTCAAAATTATGTTTTAGGTGTTTGTTTCTGCTCATCCACTCGAATTCTCATTAAAGAGTTTGAGTGGAAAGTTTAGTGGAAGGAAAAACTGGAGCAGAAAAAGGGAAAATGGCAACAGTGAGAACACAGGACTTGTGAACCCAAGTTCCTTCAGCATTTTGGGTGTATCCAATTTTCCTTTTTTTTTTTGTTTTAAATGAATTTTAAGTTATATTCTAAGTTTGTGACATGTTGAATTTTTAAGCCACAATCATCAAAATTTACTGAAATAAATGTCTAAAATTTATCACTCTGTGAATAACAAATTTATTCAGATCCACCTATTTTGATTTTACTGTTAAGCTATCATAATCTCTAAGTGCAAGATGTGTCTACATGTCCGGATAGTTGCAATTATATTTAGAAATTGAATAGATTTGAAAATTAAGAATTCAAATTATGTTTTTTTTTGTTTGCAAAATTATTTAAAAACGGGTCTATAAGAGCCTTTTTAATTGGTCTTTATGTATTTTTTTTTAAAACAAACAAAGTAACAATAATGTATTTCCATAAATCTTTAAATCAAGCATTACTTAATTATTTATTGTCAGATTTTGTACATAAAAAGTGGATTTCATTCTGGCCGGGTTTAAATTAGGTGCTTAGAATTACACCGTGAACAAAACATAAACCAGTCCAACTAACAGCAGCTGAGGAGGTAAAAATGTGCAAAGATGATCAAAGAAAAGAATTATGCATACCTTCAAACTTACATACTTGTCAGCTCAAATCAAAACCTTATGAATACCTCATGACCAGCAGAAAGAAGTAACTGTATTCTCACATGTACATTTGCCAAATAAAACACAAGGTGAACCAAACGCCAGTGTTTGCCTGATCCGATTCAAATTTTCAAACCTGCTGCTCCTCCTTAATGGGAACAACAACGAACTACTTCTTACTGCGGGGTGACAATGTGTGTTTGTTTATCCAATCTGTAAGGGGGAGAAGGAGGGGGGGCCTATAGCAAGGCTTTCTCTGAGTAAGGGGCCTGTGGGACGTCTGAGGGAGGCGCTATGCTTGTGCCAGAGGGGGCGCTGTAGTTTCCAGGAGCTGTGCACGGTGCAGCACTGGCTGGGTTTGGGTAGGACTGAATGTCTGCTGGAGCCATAGCACCAGGCGCTGCGGCGTAGATCGGTGGCTGGCCCATGTACATGTGGACATCACTGTGTTGAGAGAAGAAAAAAAAAAATAAATGATATTGAGGTGGAACGTTTGAGCCATCCTAGTTTCAATTTGAGTTTACTACAAAAGGAGGTCACAAAGTAACAACAGAACTGGTTTTGAGTTATGAAGTTATTTAGTTGGTGTCAACATTATTACATTTTATTGAGAGCTTCTGGGGCTTTAAATGACTCGGCTCACCAACACATATCTGATTTATTGGTCTATTAGGTGCTTTCAGCCACTGGCTTCAACAGATTGGAGTTCTGGTGGCTGAACCCTGATTATGATTTGTGACATGATCTGAACATTTTTGGAACTGCCATCTTTTTTTGTCTATTCAGCTTGTTTAATGTCTGTATTTATGTTCTTGTAGATGTTTTGAAATATTACAAAAAATAAGACTTCATAAATTAAGTTATTCTCATAAGTCTAATTGTAAATACTGCATAATTTAGAAGTCGTTTCAAATCTGCAGGAAAACAGCCAAATAAGGAGAAGTATGCAAAAACAATAAGAAAAAAGTAAATATTAAAATTATAATGACTTTTGAAGAATCCCAAATTTGCTGTGGGGGCGTTCAAGTCCTTAAAAACAAAACTCACAGGGAAATGTTGAAAACAATAAGATAAACAAGCTTTCAAATACAAATAGCAAAAGTCAGTATAAAAATTTGTATAAAAATCAGCAAAAAGAACACATTCCTAAATTGAAAACAGAAAGTTGGATTCTGCCCATACTTGTGTGCAACAATCTTAACATTTATTACAAAATTAAACACAGAACAGCGACAGTTTAGCAACGTATTTAGAAAAAAATATATACCAAAATTTCTAATCTTCCATTTGACTTTAAGAGTAAAAATCAAACCTCTGTTTGAAAAGTGAGGACACTATAAGAGCGGTACTAACAAAACGCTCAAAAAAAAAAAAAAAGACAAATTGAAAACTACAATCAAAAGAAGAACTTATATTATTATACTTAGTGTATCAAGAAAGAGATTTATGTTTCAGAAACTCACCCGGGAGCTGGCTGACCCGGCATGGGAGCGCCAGCAGGAAGCTGCTCCACAGGAACCGTGTAGCCCTGCACCCCGGTGCCGCTCATGGCATATGAGCCCGACGCCGGCTGACCAGGGTAGACCTGCGGAGATAGAAACGTCCGCACAGTCCGTACAGTCCATACAGAAACCTTATGAGCAGCACACGTTTTGTAACAATAGTTACTGCCCTTCGTTTGGTTTATAGCAAATAAAGAATCCATCATATTAGTTAAATTCAAAACCTCAACAGCCACGTCCTGTCCTGCAATCAAAACTTTACCTGCTGTGCCGCGCTGGCAGGCTGCTGCATGTAGTACTGCTGGCTCTGCAGCTTGGCATACATGGCGTACACTGGATCTTCGTTCATCAGCTTTGCGTATAGAGACAACGCTTCCATGACCTTTACGTTCAGCTCTGACAGCTCAGAGTGCTTCCTGGCGAAACAAACCAAGAGGGGAAAGCGTTAGCAACCCGTCATTCATTATTAAACTCACACTGGAACTAAATATTTATTAAGCAGAATAAAGCTGCATAGTTTGGAGATAGATTAGAAGGGACAAAAAAAAAAAAAAAAAAAAAGTATTGAACTCTACAACGTGGTCATTCATATGAGGATGCAAAACAAAACAACAACAAAAAAAAAATCCATGACTATTTATATAAATGTGGCATAGAGAAGGCAACATCATACCTGTCTATGTCCTCCAACTTCTGGTCAATCAGAGGTCCCATTTGGTTACATGCACCTGAGGAAAAACAAAAATAAAGGTTATGCGTTTCCTCTCTGGTAAACAATGAACAATTTTAACTTCATTCTAAACCACTGATTTAATTTATGATAAGTTTTGTCTACCTTCTAGCTGGAGCAACTCCACGCTGTCCGACTGGTTGTCTGTAGGATCTGCACTTTGGATCATCTGGAGCAGCTGATCCATTTTGTCCTAAAAAAAAAACGTCACAAGCTCATGTAAAAAGTTGAATCTACACAATCCTTATGAAAACTGGGAAATTTAGTAACGCCACTCATGTTAGTGTTAGCGAGTAACAACTTTGAAATGTCACAGTAAAGCTCTTTACTGACGCAAGTCACAGAAGGGAACTCACCTCGTCTATGTACACAGGCTCCTGTTCAGGCTCTATTGTCTCCACCTGGATGTCCTCGCTGAACTGTACAGTCTTCTTCTCTGTCTTCACTGCAAATACACAAACAACAGCAAGAGCAACAGTTTAATTTAAGCACTAAACAATTCTTCCGGACTAAAAATCTGCTGTAAGCTTTCGATGCAACCGTCCAATATGTTTTACTTGAATACATGGCTGTTTTCATTTTTGTAGTTTGTTTTACCAGTTGAAAAAACAAAAATAATTGAGTTTTTTCATTTACTTATGACTCCGACTTTTGTTTTCATTTGCTATAAAAATACATGAATATGAAGTACCACTACCAAAACACGGGCATGGTCTGGTATAGACTGGTCACTCCTATCAAGGTTCTGGCTTCAAAGCAGCTAAAATTAGTCATTACCCCATTAAGGAGGATAAAGCAACAAAAAACTGTCTGCCAGCTGCTTATTACTAACTGACAGCACTCAAATCAAGGCGCTATATTTTAAAACTTGTCTGTAAGTTTTTATAGCAAGTATTTTAAGCAGCTGACTGAAACATAGTTGCATAAGAAAACAAGGTTTTCTTCTTAAGTCTACATCACAGACTGAAAACAATAAATGAATGTTTTGGCTAGCACTTAGAACTGTAATAGTAAGAAATGTTTCAGCTCAGCAGCAGCTAGAGTAGTTGTTTTTCGGTTTAAAATACCAGCATTTTGATCATATCAAATGATTTATTTCTAATTTTTGCATAAATACAACGTAATAGCTTTGTGTTCATCATACTGGTTAATGTTATATGTGATTTTTATTTTTAAAAACAAGGAACCAAAGTCAAAAGTCCAACAAGAGTAGCTGAAACAAGTGACATTTTTCAATTCTACCATGTTATATGATCAACCTCCTTTCTGTAGGCTTGAGTCAGACAATTTATCCTAGTGAGATTACAGCACAGCTTATCGAAATCATTTTCAGACAACGCACAAACTAAATCTGCTGACATTTTCGCAGGAAATCATCAAGAATATAAACAACTCATGGAAAAGACACGGCGATGTTCTGAAGAGAACGAATGGAGGAGGAGAGAAGGCGCCAATTGTGCGAGCATACAAATGAATTGCACAATGAAGCTGTGTGCTAAGTGGGAGCTGTAGCCAAACGCTCCACACACTTTGTTTATGACTACATGAACACATAGAGGGATGCCGTTTAATGCGTGACTGGACCAACCATCAGGCACTGGAGTCTTATTTATTTATCTTATTTTAGTTGCTTCACTTGTCTACAAGTGCTAAAGTTTCTTTCACTCCAAGATCCATAACGCTGGGTTACTATGACTGAATATAATGAATAGAAAAAGAATGAGTGATTTCTGAAGAAATGCTTTGCTGATCGTAATACTCACTCATCTCAGGTTCTGCAGTGAGATCGGCAGTGACAAAGTTCGAAGGGAACAAGCCGACTCCCTGGTATGTTTCCCCTTTCCACCAGTTGGGGTCACTAAAAACACAACAACTATTTAAGGATCATCGCTACAAGGATCATGGTGAATGACCAGTTTATTTAAACAAAACAAAAATAATAAATATGACAAGCCACATAAAACACACAATCTCCTTAGTTAGAATTTACATTGGCCTTTGAAGAGAAATTTAAATTTGTCAACTGTCTTTCACCACAAGACAAAAAGAAAAAAAAAATAAAAAAAACATGCAACTCCAGAAATGTCAACTTTCAGACTACTTGTGGGATGAAGTTCACCTGTCGTCCAGGATGGTAATGATTTCTCCGGACTTAAAAGTGAGCTCATTGTCCTCCGCAGCCTCGAAGTCGTAGATGGCGCGGACTTTTCTGCCGTCGGACTTGTGTGTGGAGAGCAGGCTGGACGTGCTCGGGTAAAGGCTCGACAGGGACGTCTGCGGTTGCTGTCGCTGCTCCTTTAGCGACAGCTCGATAGCTGCAGACAAGGAGAAAATGCACTTTGTGATTTTTTAAATTCATCAGGATGAAGCAAATTTGCAAAAGTACACATCTGATAAACGTTTTTAAACTCTTTTCTGTTTATTTAAGATTTCCTGTGGTGGTTTGATCATCAGAGGAAAAAGCTGTAATTCGCTGTGGCCATTTTACCTTTGGCCAGATCTTCTTCCTCCTTTTTGTTTGTGGTGGTGGAGGGATCCTTTGCCACCAATGCTGGGCTTGCTTTTGCTTGCTCTGCAGCCTGGGAGAAGATGATCACACATCAGATGACTGAATCATTTTTTTAGCATGCGCACATTGGATCCACTGGCACTGAAGGCACTATGAAGACTAAATGTCACATGACTCAATGCACTGGCAGCAGACCTACCTGGGAGCCCACCGCTGGGAAGGTGACCCCTTGCTCGCGTAGATTCTTGATCATCGCAGAGATCAGGCTGAGCTGCGGATCATTGCGGAAGTCCTCTGCCCACTCCACCATCAGCGCCTTCAGCTTTTCGCACACTTTTGGGTGACCCTAGGTGCAACCAAATTAGAAAGAAAAAAAAACAAACAAAAAACATACAAGAAATGACCACAAGTACACTATGTTTTTGACTTGACATTTTGCAAAACTAAAATTGACCACGCACCTTATTTAAGACGTTGCTGACTTCACTGGCGAACTCTCTAGAGCAAACCTCCAAGTGGAAGATTTTACCACAATTAGAAACACAAGCGCCCAGAAGCTGTGTGGACAACGACAACAGGAAGCAACGATCAAAGAGCTGCAAATCTGAATTCAGACATGACTAAAATAAATCCTGCATTTCAGTGATTTCCAAAAAACACACCGGGGTTGGGCAAAAGGATCTTAGGTGGGGTTGAAGTCACAAGACTTTTGCAGCATCTATCCATTTGTCACTATCTGTTTAGCAATATTTGTCCTTAGCAAATACTTAGAACTTGTGCAAAACACGGCTGTTTGTTTACAGTCTACTTACAGTCAATGCCTGCATGGCTACGTGGGGATCCTTGTGGTTCACTCTTCTCATTATTGAGCGGAGACATTCTTTTGGCCTAAAAGACAAGAGCAGAACTCAGGTGTCTGAAGAAATAAACAGAACATTTACAGAAGTATTTACAACCCTTCAGCTTTTCTGCATTTTGTCATGTCACAACCACAATCCACACCACACTTCTGGGAATTTATTTGCAAAACCAAACCCTTGTATTCACAGTTTTTATTGTATTTTTGTTTTTCACATAACATTTCAACAACATACACCCAAGTTTGTAGTTTTTGTCATCATAAAACACTGCATGTGAGCTCAAAAAACGGTGGAAATAAAAAAAAAAAACAAAAAAAAAAAACAGTGTTCTACTTCAAAATAAGGAAGATTAAGTTTACCCAGTGCGTGACTGCCCTATCTTATCACATATGTCCAGAATGAGGCCCCAGTCCTCAGCTGTGTTCATCTCACTGGTTGCTTTCTCTGCAGGGAAGATACATAGCATGCAATGTAAGCAGAAATCCAACAGATCACAACATTATTATTATATTTTTTTACATTTCATAGAAGAAGGTATGAAAGAGAGGCTTTGTTAAAAAATATATAAATAAGATTAAAAAAAAATTATTTGCAAGTGGTGTGTCTAGTTTCTATTTATATGATCATAGATTGGTGTAAACAAATTTCTGCTTCTAACTTGTCTGTGAACTAAACAAATGGGTCTATTGTACAAAACTGCAAATGAGCACAATCATGAAATGGAAGTCTAACAGCATAACAGAAAACATTTTAATCTCAGATGCAACATATCAACAAATCATATGCAAACATCAGAAGAAATTTTAAAGTCTGCCACATGTAAAAGTATTTCATAATAAACTGGATCTTTGCATGTATAGCAGGAGCTCGAGGCATTAGGTTACGTTTGCAGCAAGCCTGTATATTTTAAAAGAATGACGTTTTAACTTAAACGGAGAAATAAAACTATTGCCACTGGTATGCGTTTGTTTTTCTTTATGGTTTCTTTTATAAGAAAATTAATTGATACAATTGGCAAGAACAGAATGGTCATAAACATATGAAGTGTAGCTTCCTTGACAAAATTAAACATTTTGAAAAAGAAAACAATTAGTGTGAGTATCATGACGACTATATTCCAGATTACGTTTCTAATATGGCCCATATATTTAAACTGTTACATGAACAAGAGAGATTATCAGTTATATGATTCACGTCAACCGTTCTATCAGGCTGATCAACTAGCCTGACATAAGGTTATCAATTATTCCTTAAAACATAATCAAAGCTAAGCATAAAGCAAGAAAAAACGACTATAATTTGAAATTATGTTATGACAAACAGCAGGGACTCGATAAAAAAAAAGAAAGAAAGAAATCCTAAAATCCTAATAACAGTATAGCCTAAACAGTAAATGCTGGGTCAGAGATTACATATTAGCCCTGTCTATATGGTGCTGTTTTTCCTGCTCACTGTTTATGCCAATGAAGTGGTTAACCACTCCACACAGAACAAAGAGAGCTGGAGAAATACATCGTAACTTCATGGTTTCAGATAACACCACATCCTATTTCACTTCCACTTTTTGGTTAATTTCGGGCTGGTTAACCCACACGGTGGGATACAGATGATGAGGCAGGAAGCTCATTAGCTGCTGTAGTTAGCTGATGACTGCATCTGATCCCCACTTCTGTTTACATTTACGTTATCACAACATAAATAAGAAACATCTATATACGCATTTGTAATACTTTTTTTTTTTTTTTGTTAAACGAATGTAAGAAATTTTGTTTTAGAAATAGCAAATGATCTGAAAGGCTGCGAAACCCCAAACAAAGCTGTTTGATCCCAGCTACTTATGTTAGCCTGATTACTCACCAACATCTTGGTCAAAGGGGTTGGTCGTGAAGAGAGGCATCGCTAGGGTGTTGACAACAAGATATTTCACCTTCCTTTAAATATTGTTTTTCCCCCTCCTCTTACTTCATCCACAATAAACACATAGTAACAGCAACTACATAGATGTCAAAAGGAGCTAGCTGATTCTTTTCTACACAGTCACTCCTTCTCTCCAGACGGCAACAAGCGAGGCATGCTGGGTAAATGAAGCAGATAGTCTGATAACGAATAAAACTGTGGCACCGACAATAAATCCAGCGCTCAAAGTCAAACACTTATCAGTGTCTAAAGTCCCTTTGAACCAGAAAAAAATTTATCAGAAGATACTAATTTTCTTTGCTGTGGGAAAAAAAAATAAAAAATAAAAAATAAAAATAGCATGTCATCGTCAGGTGACGTTGGTCACATGACGCTTTGTCATGTTTATGTTTAAATGAAACTGATTGCAAATAACTTTACAGTACGGATTATAGGTGCATTCTAAAACAAAATAAGCATGAGTGTATGTCAGTTTCAAGAAAAAAAAAAAAGAAAAAACATATCACTAGTTATTTTACACAGCTGTTTAGAAAGGCATTTTTAAGGAGTCAATAAAGCTCACGTATAATATAATCCTGTTTGCATTGTTGATGTCTTGTGAATAATTATTTTATCAGGATAAAACACAAGCTACGGTAAATATGCCCTTGTGTGCGCAAATCATCAAAATGACGCCTTTGTTTTTATTCATTAATCTTTTTCTTTGTATTTACATTCATTCAATTTTAAATTATGTTTATTTTATTTTCTCTTTATTATAAACATATATGTTTACAGTACATAAATTCCTCCTTTAAATCGTGTTTATTGTGTATGCACAGCTGAAGTCATTGAGAGGCATGTGACAACATGCCATGCATTTCAGAAATAGACTTGAAAGACATTTTTGAAGAAAAACAGAGAAGAGTGCGATGGCCAGATTTTATTGTCATAGAACGCCGAAGCGAAGATCATTTCAAGCAGCCAAAAGAATCCATTTTGTCTGTTTGATGTATTCCAATAAGATGATGATTATTTTATTGTCTTCAGAACTGCTATCTCTCCTTAGTGTGCTCACAAATTAACCAGATGGAAATCTTAAAACAGGGACAAACAGATTTCAAGTTAAAACTCCAAAGACACATTAGGCCAAACTTAAAAGCGCTGCCACCTATTGTTTCTGTGCTGTTTATTGAGGTGGCAGCAAGAAGGTGGGGTTTTTGCAACTGAAGTGGATAAAAGGTTTGTTAAAAATCTGTCAAAAGTAATTCGTCATTGAGATGCTGTGGTGATACAGGGGTCAAGCACAACCCACTTATGGAGGCCTTAAGTGTTCAGGGACCTTTTAGTTTCCATAAAGAACTGTTTCAGTATCTTCAGGCAGGAACTCTGAGTTGGTACTGAGTACACTAACTGCTTTTTACAGTACAAATATGCCTAAGTGTCAGGTTTATTGGTCACACTAAACTGTCCTGTGATGGCCTAGTCACCTGTCGCAATAATAGTATAGGTACCAGCAGTCCAATAAGGATGAGTGATTATAGAGAATGGATGACTGGATGAATGGAGAGGTAAATGTCTGAAAGGCCTGACAAGTGAGAGTTCTGATACCTTAAATCAAATGGTCTAGATTGGGTTTGTGAAAAATAAGACACTAGTCTAGGCAATATCATTTCATTTAACCTGAAAGAAAAAAAAAAAAAAAAAGCAAAATTCAGTCACTCAACACAGAGCATCTTTACTGTTTTATTGTCTTAAGTGTCTTGGTTGATCATTATTAGCTTGGTGAATTAAAAGAGGGACAATAAAGCATTAAAACAGATTACAAACCACAACTTATTAAGTAATATATGGTACAGTAAAGGCACCTTTTACATCAGCGAGTGGCAATGCAAACACTTGTTTCACCTGCCATACTGTATTTGGCATGTTGGATAAATCTCTTTATACTGGTGTAAACTGAATTTTCGTGTTTTAAGAGCTATGAAATCACTGACAGGTAAGTTTCTAAGTAATGTCAGCCCTAAAACAGCAAAACTGCTCAGTAGTCATGATAATATTTGTGACTGGAACCTAGTAGTTTAAGAACAGTGACATTTACCTGCACTTTACTTGTTTTCCCATACAATATTGGATTGGTTTAGTGAGTAAATGTGAGTGCTTTGCACTGCAAGATTTTATAAGGTACAACATCTTATAAAAAGCTCAGAATCTATGAAGTATTATAAAATAGAAACAGTTTTCACCTTTTCACTCTCCAAAATATGAAAAAAACCCTCTTTTTATTAAAGATTTCCAAGTACAAAATCTGCAAAAATGTTAAGTATAGTAATAATGCAAAAATATCAAACAGTACCAAATTTTATAGAATACTATTTACAGATATACATGAATGGAACTGGCTGCACCAAATCCTAATTTGTTACAGCTTACAGACATAACTACAATCTCATGATATTTCTGTACCAAATCTCAGTTGGTACCGTAGTGGGATATCTTTGCTCCTTCTTGGGTTCCACAGTTTGTTTTAAAGTGCCTTGAAGAAACAACAGGCACTAAAAGTAATTATTTAGAATCATCTTCTAGTCTCCATGATGCCTGACTGAGCCGCCTTTATCCTTCAGTCTTTAAGTTGAGCTCCTTCCTTCACATGACTCTCCTTTTTGATGCACCCTCAGCTTCATGCATAGAGGAAGAAGTAGATGGATGCTATAAAACTGGAACCACCACTATGAAGAGAAAAACATGACATGTAAGGCATATATTTAAAATGTATTTATTTACTGAAAACAATGCTTTCAAAAGTATTTATACCCCTTAAATTTGATCACATTTGACACATTGCAACCACAAACAAACATTTTTGATTGGCTAAAAGTCTGTGCTTAGAAAAAACAACCAGCAAGTCACCATCAACGAGTCCCTTTGAGTGAATCTTTTAACTTAAGTTTAGGCTGCTGCATGACAAAACATGCCAAAGTTTAAGGAGTTTCAATACTTGTGCAAGTGTCAGAGGGAAGCAGATTTTGAATGTCTTAGTTAAAATTTAATAAGGTATAAACACTTTTGAGAGACAGCATTAAGATTTTAAGTAAGTACTGACAATCAGATGAACGTTCACATATGAACCCAATGCGGTCTGTGCAGTAGAAATCGTTCCAGTTAGCATTATGGATAAGACCTGCACAATCCTCTCCATTTACATGACCGTGAGTCCAGTTATCAGGCTGACCAGGTTTCCAGTTTCTGATGAGGACAATGCAAATTTGTTAAACGTATTCATGCCAGTCTGAAGAAATTAAAAAGTAAATTTATGAATTTATAACTCACGTAAAAACCGGTATGGTTCCATCCACCCACTTCCAGACATTTTCTTCTTCCTTGTCAGTAAGACCCAACCAGAAATAGCCCTTTGAAATGGCATTTCTTATGAATTGCTGGTGGAAAAAATAAGAGAGAAAAAAACATTTGATGATTATTTTAAATAATTGGTCGAATTATGTGAAATGTGATTTCATCTCTACCTGTTCTTCATTGTCATTGATTATGAGCATATGGGATGATATGTTTTTACAGAACTTGTTTGCTTCATTAAAGTTGAGTCTCTGGGAACCAGAAGAAAAGTAGTAGCAGCTGTCCCCAAACTTTCTGAACTCAGGAGGACAACCTGGAAAACATAAATATAAGTATTATCAAGTGAAATTAAAACATACGTGGATGCAAACAGTCTCTGTCTGGCAAAAATCTCTGGAAGTAGCAGATAAATTTTTCAATTGACGTGTGACTCACCAGGTGCAGGAGTAGAAGCAGCAGCTGGGGGCTGTCCCTGTGAAGAGTCTTTTGATTTCTCCGTTGGTACTGAGGGCAAAGTCGGTAGGGGAGGTTTGATGACTTGAGGGGCTCTGGTTGGTTTTATATTGACAGAAGACACAGGACCAGGCAAGCCTGGAAGGCCCGGAGGACCAGCAGGGCCAATTGGACCAACAGGCCCACGAGGCCCCTCCAAGCCTGGAGGTCCTGCTGCTCCTCTAAGTCCCTGTGGGCCTTGTGGCCCTGGCAATCCAGGATTTCCATTGGCTCCAGGGTACCCATTTGCTCCAGGGTCACCTTTCTCACCAGGGTTTCCAGGTCTGCCTCCAGAGCCTCTAGACCCTTTAGGTCCTGGAAGCCCCCGAGCACCAGTGGAACCTTTTGGACCTGTGGCACCTGCTGGCCCAGTAGGACCTCGGTCTCCTTTTGGTCCCACCAGGCCTGGCATTCCTTTGTCTCCTTTATCTCCCTTCTGTCCTGTCTGGCCCATCGGCCCTTGGGGACCTTTATCACCTCTGGAGCCTTTTGGACCTGGCGGACCTAAATCAATTAAAAAACAAACAAAAAAAAACAAACTTGTTTGTATTGGGGTTCTATTGGATCTTAATGAAGAAAAGTTCAGTTGTATCTGTACAATTTACACTTCCATGTTTAATGACTTTTAGGGAGAAACAGCTGTGATCAGGATTAGATCATTGTCATTTACACCATGAGGCAATATCACAATCAGTTAAACTTGCTTTCTTTTTTGTCTACAAAAGTTATACCTAAATGTCACAATATCAATGTTGGTTGCCTATATCTAACCTACCATTATTCTAAAAGCAAAATATTTTCAACAAGCTCGTTAAAAATGTTGTTTGATCTTACCCTGCAGAATGGTGAAGTTGGTAATGAGCTGCGAGTGTTTGCTGTCTACCAGCTTCATCTCCTGCATCACATTGGACAGGTTGTTCACCTCTTGGTCCAACCTGGTTGCAAGCTCATCCTGCTGTGTGCGCAGATCTTTGCTGTTGGTCTTGGCCTCTTCCATAGTGGCATTCAAGTCTGCTAACAGGTCCGTGTGCCTCATCACTGTCTCAGCACAGGATCTTAGGCCGGTCAGGTCAGAACTGATGACACCCAAGATCTGCGTGGCAAAGCTCATGTTTCCTGTCACACGGTCCATGGCGATCTCATGCTTGTCCAATCGTACTTCCATCTCATCAAACTTTAACGAGGTGGCATTGTCATTGTCTCTCTGGCGATCCATCAGCTCATGCAAGCCTTGGTCATGACTCTCGGTGATGGCTGAGGTGTTCTGGATTTGGATGACCAAAGCATTAAGCTGGGTTCTCAAGTCGTCCAGTGTGTCTCCATTGGAAGTGGCCAGGGCGGAATTATTTGCAGCCAAAACCTGAAGATTCTGGACCTTTTCTTTCAGCCACTGTGAGTCTGAACGCGTATGATTGGCTGTCTGCTGCAGAATCTGATAGTCATTCTTCAGTTTCTGTA